ATAATAATGATAATAATAATAACTCCATTGTGTCTTGTGACAGTCAGAGTTACTCATTTTTACTCTAACTGTCACAAATATTAGTTTTCTCTCTGCTCACTCCTCTGCTTCAGTCCTTCAGCAGGTGTTCAGATGTTCAGATTATAAAGGTAAGAAGTCATTTTCAGTTCCACCTGTGTGTCAATACTGACTTCATTGCATCATTTGTCAGACAGGAAGTGGCTGCAGTGTTAAGAAAATTCCCTGAAAGGGAGTGGTGCAGAGTGTCCGTGAACGGACAGACACGATCAAAACATCACAACAAGTTAACAGGACTCAACCTGTTTGTGTTTCACAGATAAACCACACAGTGGACCATAAACACACTATTCCAGTGGTTACACTCCTCTGACACTACTTTTATTGTGAGACTGTGCTATAAAGTATAAATAGACTGAACCTGGTCTCCTCACCTCCTCTGCGTCCCTTCCCCACGACTACGTTTGGTCTGAGGCTGTCAGGATGCTGCCTCAGGTGAGGCATGTACAGGTAGATGTTGGGCTGAGTGAAGCTGTGGTGGCTTAAATCAGCCCTCAGCTGTTTCACCGCTTCTGAAAACATGAGGACAACATGACAAACAGGACACTACAACATGAATACTGAAGGCAGTAAAAATCATACAGTCATGAGAGCTGAACAGCTTTTATGGCACGTTAAATCTTTTTTCAAAACAGGTTTACTTGAAGGTTTACTTGTGGTTCCTGGAGTTTCTAAAAGTAGAATGGGAGGCAGAGCTTTCAGTTATCAAGCTCCTCTCTTGTGGAACTAACTTCCAGTTTCTGTCCGTGAGGCTGACACTCTGTCTACTTTTAAGATTAGACTGAAGACTTTCCTTTTTCATAAATCCTATAGTTAGACTTAGGTTTCCTGAATTATTCTTCATTTCTGCTGCTATAGACTTAGACTGCTGGAGCACAAACTGAGCACATTTCCTCACTCTGCTGTTGTCTTTACTCTGTATGAAATCTTACAGAGTTGCTATTAAAACTAATGTGTGCTCCCGAGTCTCTCAAAGATATATTTAAATTAACAATGTAAAAACAAATCTTAATGATTTATTTACATGAACCTTTCCTTTTCCTGGGTGGAGTGGTTCCACTGAAGGTTAAAATAGTTTTGGATTTTTCATTATAGTTTAGTTTTATTTCGTTGTGACTTTTTTCTTTTTATTCAGTTAGTTTTAATTAGTTTCCACAGTGGGTTTGATAGTTTTTATTAGTTATTATTGCATTTTTAATGCTTAGTTTTAGTTTAGTTTAGTTTTATTAGTTCTAGTATTAGATTCATTCATATAGTTTATTTGCCAGTGCAGCTGAGTTAACTAACCAACAGCTATTTGGTCGCTAGTTAAATAACACCTTCCTAAAATAATTGTGTAACTCAATTTTGCCAACAAAAAACTTGGGTGATTGTTTTAGAACGATGATGATGTTGTCTCCAACTCGGTGCTACCTGTTGTTTGTTTTTCATGGAGCTACTGAGAGAAGCTAGCGTGTCAGATAGTCATAGTTAGCATCTTGTGTGAGTTTGATTCATGCAGGTTTTCCTTCACAAGTATTCCACCTGTTTTATCACCTGTTTCCACTACAACACACTTGTTTTGATTTTTCTCACAGTCATATTCAAAGAAAACCCCAAACCACAGCTAATGTGAATCTATGTGGTTTAAAAAAAAAACACTAAAACTAAGGATATTCTATCTGAAACTTCAATTAGTTTTAGTTAGTTTTGCAAAAAAATTATACTGTTTTAGTTAGTCACGTTTTAATTTTATTGCAGTTTTTATTTATTTTAGTTAACTAAAATATATTTTCATTTCAGTTTTCGTTATTTAGTTAGTTTTGGTTAACTTTAATAACCCTGGTTCCACCACATACAAAGTCAAAGATTTAAAAAAGAACTTTAAATGTGTTGTGGATTTTGTCTAATCCAGGGGCCAAAACATTTTCCCTGACAGGGCCAAAAATAAAATCAATCTGAGGGCCGTGAGCCAAATGCAATAATATAAGAAATGCAAATACTTAAGTAAATTTGTTATATTTTTTATGATTAAGCTAGCAGCCAGTGTGGTTGCCCACATTCTTTAGGTTTTTTTTTCAGCCCATGGACATGGAGAAAATTCAATGTATGCTCAGGCAGCAAAGGCTCATGGGAATTTTCATAATTTAAATTTTGAGTATATGTGGTTTTATAAAGGTGTGCCAATCTATATATGGGCTTAAATCTAATCTAAATGTCTCTTGTAGTTACAACCAGGACAACTGCTGGTGGGCCAAATCAAATGGCTCAGCGGGCCAATTTTGGCCCACGGGCCCCACTTTGGGCACCTCTGGTCTAATCAATACAAAATCCAAATTATACAGGTTCCAATATTTCCTAGGTCTGTAAATAATCCACTTAAAGACCGTGTAAAGTAAAATGTAACATTTTCTTCTTTAAACATTATAAATGTCATAAATAATTTGTAGTAATTGAGTAAAAGTTCTCTCAACTGTAGATACAGTGGTTTGCAAAAGTATTCATACCCCTTGAACTTTTCCATATTTTGTCACATTACAAC